GCATGAGAAGCTGAAAAGTCCCTGACTAGTGTAAGCACTGCTTAGCAACAACTAAAACATCAGTGTGTTACCAACTTTATTCTCATACTAAATCCAAAACACAGCACCGTACCAGCTACTAGGAAAAATTAACTCTTATCCCAGCCGAAACCAGGACAACTCCTAATAATTGGTTTATGTCTTCACATTAGCTTTTTAACTCTTATCCCAGCCGAAACCAGGACAACTCCTAATAATTGGTTTATGTCTTCAACATTAGCTTTACAGTGAAAAGCAGTAGAGTACTAAGCTGCATCACAATAAAAGGGAGAGAGATTGGTGCTCATGTCTAAGCATTAACAAGCTAAGCTGTTTATGAAGATCCACCAGGACATGAGTTTTCAAAGGCTGACAGTTTTGTAGTCCAAAGTGCTCTCTTAAAACAAGATACGGTCTGTTAGAGATTTCACAAGAGGACAACTAATAAAAGCTATGAGAAGGCTTTTCAATGTGAGTCAGGGTTTTTGGAGATGATCTGGAAACATCACCTACATAAAACCTTCCCATTTTATATTTCCGAACTGTTTTATGTGAGTATCTTTAAATTAATACATGGAGATATTAATTGTGGCAGGAGAAACAAGCACAAGAAACTTCAGAAACCAAGCTTCTCTGGAAGTTAACAGGGAGAAGCTTTAAACTAGGCTAAAAGTGAGGGGAGTTTCCTTTGGGGAAAAATCCTGAAGAAATTCATACTGCTGAGACCACTGGGTAATTAATAGAGCTCTAGTCAAATGATGTTTTAAAAAGCCAAGAAACATTAACAAGTGGGTTTAAAAATAGAAAATGAATGGAAAGCATTTCATCTTCTGTTCACCCTGCAGAGTGTTTCATAAGAGAGGAGGAGGAGGAGTTGTTCTTCATGTTTGGGATTTTGTATAATCTTAACCCTGGAATCACGCTCATGACCTTTCAATACCTATCGACTTCAAAACAGTGAAGCTCAGAGAAATACTTGAGGAAATTGCAGAATTACAGTTAACATGGCTGTCTGATAGATATTCAAAGGCATCAACCCTGATGATTTTTCAGTCCTTGAGTCCGTGAGAGCAGGAAAAGGGGATTTTGTGACACTGGAGATTGAGAGCATCTCCGTTGTTAGACGGTGGAGGTACACAGTGCTCGTGACAACTCTGGTGAGTGCCAGTCTCCTTGGTGGAGTAAGGGGACAGATACTGGGAGCACCAGTGTCCTTTTGGGGAGCAGGAGGTACAGGGTGTGGAGGGGGAGGTCCATGTGCTCCAGCATGATCTCCTGCTGCTGGGGAACTGAGAGTGGTTTTGTGGAGTGGCAGGGGCTGAGAAACAAAGTTGGCTGAGGGACTTATATAAAGAACATGCAAAAAATTTACTTTTTCCAAATAACGAGCCCACTGGGCAGATTGGTGAACTCTTAGAGCTGTTGTGTTTTCGTGGTTTTTCCATGGCAAGGCTTCATGATTCTGCAGGACCCTGCCCTGCAGGACTGGGAGTAGAAACAGGCTAGTGAGGAGGCACATGTATGACACTTGCATGTGTGTGTGCACACGTTCTACGGACACACGTGCTGTGGACCTGCATGCCTGCGGTCAGCAGCAGTGCGAGGAGGAGGAGGAGGATGGCACAGAGCAGTTAAGCTGGGTCTGGATGCTGTTTCAGAGCTTTGCCCCTAGCTCTAGAGGACTAAAGGCCTGGTGGTGTGCACAAAGCACGTGGCAAACAGGCTTTGTTCTCGCTTTGCAGTGAAGTCAATAACGCAATGTTTCTTTGTAACTCTCTTAGCAGTTGTCCTGACAATGAGCGCTGGCG